TGCAGCCGAAGATAAGTTCTTTCGAAAGCCGACACCCTGAGGTAACTGGATCGTTATAGATTTATGCTGCATCATGATTCGTTTTACAACACTACTTAATTCATCTTTTTGAAACGAGAACGCATTTCGAAATTGTGGTTGATATTTCATGAGTTAGCACATCTACTGTAAAATCGTACGTATTAGATACAGTGTTTAATTACTTTCGTTGCACCTGCATTACGTATGTCTTACGAAAGTTTTTCTTTATTCAGGAACTACCAATGGCCAGTGGAAGTGACTTCTCATTCTGGATACGAAGGTCGCAGAAACCCCCCTGATCCAAGACGGACTTTGTACATTTACATTTTTTTACTTACGTATTCAATAAATCGTCCTTCCACAATACCGCCTTCCGACTTTACCATCTTCGGGACGTGGGGGTTCGCTGTGACTCGTTTCGGGGTTTTACGTTAGGCGACCGTTCGTCATGGTTGGCGTTTACGGCCAAAAAATCGAGGCCGCGATGAATGGAAAAAACGAGAAAAAGCCCGCGCGCAAAATTTTTTCCAAGGTGCGGCCAAGTGCGGCCAATGCGTTGATGGCCAGCGCACAGCCACACCATTTGGCCACACCTGGCCGCAGCATAGCCGCACTTGGCCACACCATATTTGCCTCGGCCAAGTGCGGCCAAGTGCGGCTGGTGCTGGCAGGGAAGATAGGCTAGGGCGGTAAGTGGCCCACTACAGGGCAAATGCGGATACCGAAGATGGTAAAGTCGGAACTGAGTCAGGGAACTGAGTCAAGCAAAATTTGTTTATCAGTAGAGTTCAACTGACTACTGTGGTTGTTTCAATGAACTGTCACACTAGAGAACATTCTTCTTCCACTTCTCTTACAGAGACTTCGCCTCCAAGATCACGTGCGGACGAATAAGCCCCAACTTGTCCACGAGAAATCATTCTATTGTCTTTTTCGTTTTTCCGTAGCTTAGGTATATTAGTTTTCCGTTCTTCTATACTCGACAATAGACTCATATCTTTTCATTACCTGTGATGTCTCATCCGATGTCCCGTATGCCTGTTCCACTTAACCCTACTCATTCTGAGATGCAAGGACATTTGGACCTGATATTCCAATCAGATGGACTGTCTGAGTTTAAGCTGCTGTCATCCCCTTCCTTGGTAAGAGGTGCCCCGACGTCTCTCTCTCTCTCTCTCTCGCTTGGCCGCTATACTACGTAGCCGACTTGTGGTTATTTACGGCCTAGGAAAAAAGCGCTCAAAGCTCTTCAAGATCTGACGTTATTGAAGCCTTTCGAGATCTGCAAACCGTTGAGTTGTTTTTGAATAAACTTTATACAGTTTATCGGATTTTAAACATCTTTTCTTCGTTCACTGACTTTTGAATACTAATATCACCCTTTCATATACAACCTGACGCATTCGATATAACCTCGAAAACGAAAATATACCTATTATCTCATTCTGAAGTTTATGGAGTCTCCGAAATTTGACCGTAATAGTACGATTAGCACCGGCACCTCCTTAGAAGATAAGTCTGGTGATATGTCCTTCGCACCCAGAATCTGCACTCGCTGTATCTACGCTTCCAGCCAACGACTAGTAAAGCGTGCCAAAAGCGTAATTACCCTGAACAGTGTGAGGTACGAGGAGGAGTGCTGTGGTGGATGAGTGTATATCCAAATCAAAGTAAGACAACTTGAAAACGAGCTTCCTGACAAAGGGGCGCTCATGAAGCGGAATCATAACGACCAGAAGGTCGCCAGTGTTAGGGTCCAAGAACAAAACGCAAAAAGCACTGAAGAATATAATCTTGGAGGCATCTCCAATGACGGGTAGCAACTTAGTACAGACTAGTGTACGGTAACAGCAGGACAACGATAACAAAGCTAGCGATAAGGACAGACTCGATTTCCACTCAATATGACCTAAGCAATGCCACAAAAAATTACCTGTCGCAGGAGCAGTCTGGCCTACGCCTCTTTCTGAAACTACGGAATTTATTTTTTTGTCAAGGAACAATATAACTAGGTCACCCTGCCTACCGTTGCCCTGTTGCTCTCACAGCAATCCCGAGTGTCCTGTAGACCACATATTTGAATGCGAAGACAGGAAATCGGTGACATGGTGATGGGAAAACGTTGTAACAAGAGTCTGAAGTCACAAGCAGACCTGGTGGCTGCTTGATACAGTTTGGTTACAGCAAAAGTTCAAATTCAAGCGTGTACTTTGTAAATCGTCCCCATTCTCATACAGGGAATTCGACGGAAAGACAAAGAACACCGGGAACGCCAACAGTGTCTGGTTGTTCAGGGCTTGTCTGAATAGAACGCAGTCAGACATGAAGACGATGTCTCAGAAGATATTGCTTCTGTTAATGGCAAACATGGTAATCAAAGTCCTGAAAGCATTCCGGATAGAAAAAAAGAGTGAATAAAGGACAGCAGCACTGCCAGCTCGTCCTCTCAAAATGCTGCTGGAGAAAGAAGGGCAAGTCAAGTCGATCCTCTGTAAAAAAAACAGACATTTGAAACACACATAAACGGGTTTTTTTCAACCAGACTAATCTCCAGCGGAACAGCTGAAACGCCGGGAACTTGTCTGGGAATGAAAATCGAGACTGAGGGGTGGCGAACACAGCCTGGCTTTCTTAGAAGGGAAAGTACTTCAGAAAAATATGTCGTTTCAGTGGAACCAGGTAGTAATACTAAGGACTACGGCAGCTACTCAGTTAACACAGACACCTTCGTGGAAACGGCCGCTTGAGGTGACAACATAACGTCCATTGTTCTGACCGAAGCAACGGAAATTAATGGAAACAATCAAGTAACGGAAGAGCGCAGTGAAAATGACGTCTTAGATAACGCAGTAATGCTCACAACACTGACAAATGCAGCTGGAAACTCGGCTGGAGCAAGATTAATGTGCTTGTATACAAATGCCCAAAACCTCATATCGATACTTGACGAACTAAAACTTTGTCTTGCCGACTGTCTCCGGATGTTTAAGCAGTAACTGAAACCTGGCTGTCTGGGAATATTAACTACAGCGAAATAGCCTTCAGTGGATACCAAACTTATCGGAGGGATGGGGAATATCGTCAGGGTTGTGGCAGAGCTGTGTGTATAAAAGAAAGCCTGACAGTGTCGGAAAATACGACTAAGTTTGCGTGCAGCATGGAAGCTATTTCCATAGCCACCAGTGTTACCGGTTCCCCGTGTTTCGAGGTTCTCACTGCCTACCGACCCCCTAGGAGAGACCAATTCGCCGACACTCACCATTTGGAGCAGTTGGAGAGATTTTCCAGTCGACCTAATATCGTGATCATGAGCGACTTCAACGCACCAGGAATGAACTGGAACACTCTCCAAGCGTCGGGCCCAAAGTCGACATTCGGCACCGTTTGCTGGACAAAACACGAAAAGCGCGCCTCACGCAACATGGTATGTCTCCAACGAGAACACTTGAAGAACAAAGGAATAACTCTCTGGATTAAGTTTGAAGGAATGCGCCAGACAGCATAGACGAGGTCGTCTCCATGCCACTCCTTGGCCGAAGTGACCATGTAGTGCTTATGTGGAATTACTCGTTATACTCCTTTTTGAATACTCCAGACCAGAACAGACGCAACATCTGGCGGCTCGAATTCAAGGAGCTGAGGACAGACTTATCCGGTCTCGGCTGGAGCTCAATGTTTACGTGTAATGCCAACGAGGACTGGGAGTTGTTCAAGAATGTCATTATGTGGCCCATCAACAACCACTGCCCACTTTCGCGGGTAATACAGAACAAGCGGCCTGTGTGGCTAAATAGCAGTCTAAAGGCAGAAATTAACAGAAAGCATAAATTGTGGAGAAAATACTGCGTCACTGGACAATTTGAGTATTTCAACACGTAAAAGACACAAGGAAACAAACTAAGAAGCATGCTTATATAGACGCGCTGGCAATTTGAGAGGAATTTGCTACAAAAAGCACAAGGAAACCCAAAATTACTCTACAGCTACCTCAGAAGCAGTTAAAGTAACGCATACCAAGTCCTCTTAATAAGGACTACCGATAGCATAGAGATTGTTGATAGCAGGAATAAAGCTACGCATTTTTCACAATTTTTCTAATCAGTTTATACAAACAAGGCAAGGTTCCTTCCTCCCTCCACAGAATAACTACCGACTCCAAGCATAAGTAATATGCTCTTCCCAGAAGGTGTTGTCCGAAGAGAATTAGAGGCATTGAAGGAGGCAAAGTCTCTAGGACCAGATTCAAGTGTCTCAAAGAACTTGCCAGTGAGCTTTCTGCGCTCTTGTCGATGCATTTTCACACGTCATCTGACAGTGGAACACTTCTTATCAATTGGAAGCTGGCTACAGAAAGGACTAAGTATGTCATCTACGACAAATTACAGGCCCATAAGCTTGAGATGCATTCTCTGTGCCATACCAGAGCTGAAAAAATATGGGTCAGAAGCAACTTCCTCAAAAGGATCGGAAACTTCCTCATGGGTCGACGGTAGGTTGTGTACATCGGGCAAGGGGAATCAGATCCTGCTGTGGTCGAGAAAGGTATTTCCAGGGCCCAGTACTGGGACCCATTTTGTTCATTCTGTTCGTGAACGACTGCACAAGAGCTTTGGACTGCAAATCAGCAATGCTTGCAGACGACATTAAGATATGGAGCGTTATAAGGGGCCTTGCCGACGAAGACATACTGTGTACGAAGCTAAATCGGTTGGAAGAGTGGTCAAACCATTGGCTCCTGAGGTTCAACTTTGTTAAGTGTGCTATGGTTTGTCTAGGCATCCCAGCCAGATAAGCCAGCACGAGAGACCATTTACTGTGCGGCGCAGCCTTAAGAGAGGTCGAAGTCCAAAAGGAACTCGGTGTGATGAGGACAACTCCCTAAAACCATATGCTCATTGTTCGACAGTGGCAGAAAGCGCAATTTCCGTACTGTACGCTATCAAGCGGGCGTTTATGGATTTTGACGAAGACGCCTTTTCTAAGGCTTCCAGAACGTTCTTACGGCCACACTTTGAATACGCCATAAGAACCTGGAGACCGTGGGCAGTTGAAGATCAAAGTTGCCTCGAAAAAGTTCACAGGAGAGCCACGAAGATGGTCGAGGGTAAATTCAATAATTCAGTATACTGAAAAAGCTTTAATAAGAACCATGGCTTATTTATATTCCGAAATTATCAAGATCGATGAGAGATCGAGCTCATCCCCTGAGACTCACTCCCATTTTGTCATATCAGTATGGGCTCGTTTGAATTACTCCTGCCCAGATAAATTCTCTGTACACCGCAGCCAGTTTTACGTTGCAGATAGGGTACTTAGGGGCTCTTACCTTTTTCCCTCAATAAACTGAACAGAACTGATCGATATTACAGACTCTGGCGGAAACAGATGGAACTTTAGAGAAATTGGACAGATTCTCTACATTATTCACTTTTCGGTAGTAGAATAAGCAGTTACGTGTAGAGGCGGTCAGTGAGCAGTGAAAAACTCCTCATGAAAAAAACTAAATGAGTATGAATTAGTAAACTGTTATGGAGAAAAAACTGTCGCTCATTAAAGGGAAAATCTGCGGGCCGAGCAAGACATGTCCTGCATATGGTATTTTATAGGGGATTCAAAACGTTAATCGTCAAGGCACAACTTCCTGAACCGAATGAGGTTATCCGCCTCAAAGTTGCCAGACAGAGGGACCTAGCCGCTATCGGACACGGTCCGCTGAGAGTCTAACCGAAGATGGCGCACCAAGCGCTATGGCGATCATCAGAGTGTAGAGCGGAAAACGCGACCTGAGACCTCTTCGCTGCACGACCAAATGACTAGCAAAGGGTGAAAACAGGGGATTCACGCCGTGATCGTCAACAGACCACTTGGGGTCGAAATGAGGAGTTGACATCAAGATCTGCGGGGTGAGGGTTCGAAATCACGGGGCCAGAGTGGAATTCTGATGAGTGTCGGCGATCAGGGAAACTGAGGCGGCTTAGTGCATGCACGTCAACCTAGCCACACTATTTATTTGAAAGCATTTGTGAGGAAGGATATCGCATTCTGTGGGAGACATGGTGCATGAAATGAAAAATCGAAAAAACTAAAACTTCTGATGAGGGATCCTAGAAACCGAAACAACACACAATAGACGGAAGTGTGAGCGTGAGCGGAAATTTAATGGGGGCGTCCTAAATGCCCGTGAACAGATCCCGGCCTAGACAGGCAGGGGTAAAAGTAGATCGATTAGGAGAAATAGAAGATCGTAATCGGACAGATAACCCTATAATATTAGGTGGAGTGCAACGATGAAGTGTAGTGTAAACAATAATTACAACTACAAGGAATAATAAATACTTAGCTCTAAGTGGTGGATGCTGCGTTTCTTACAAGAAAAATAACGATGGCGAAAAGAGGATAACAAAAACGACAAAAGGTAAATAATTGTACAGACTTACGAAAAATAAAGCCTTCTCCAGAATCGTTGGCCGTAGGCTGAATGTTCTGGGCGAAATCCCGGGACGAAGTCAGTTAATGAGGCTTGCCACTCAGGTAAGTTTACGTCCAGTTAAATATGGCCGAAAGATATGAACATTTCGTGTCGATTAACTAAAAGGGATTGAGGCGAATGAGTGCAATCAACGAAACAATGACACCAAGCAGCGGACGGACACAAGGGTCACGCTTTTTCTCAAGCCGAAGTCAAGTGTGTGCATTTTAGTTAATTTGCACAACCGCACAGAAATGTTAAGGCGTACAAGAAGGTTTAGAGTAAAAAATCGAAAATGAGCGTAAACCTGCAGCGGTCAAACTTGGTCACGATCACAAATAAACCTTTTACCTGCATGTTACAAAGAAAAAAAAGGTGCTAACTAATTTAGACTTAGCTAGTAATATTCCGACGGGTTTGTAACTGAAGGAAACCGGAAATTTCCTATCCGGACTGCTACAAAAGACAAGAGTACCCCAAAACAGAGACTTAGGAATAATCGTAGTAGTAATTGAAGCTCTCGTGAAAATGTTCGACCAATCGCTTGATAGGGGTCGTAAACATTCCGCAAATTGCTACCGTCAGTCACTCGCATTTCAGGTCTGTCTGTATGATGTCTTTGGGGTTCCCCGTCATTTACCGTTAATTAAAGATGGTTCGAAACCTTGCCTACACAATCCGTCAGGCGTATATGATGTCTGCACTATTATAAGATTACCCTGTTAGGCCACTGAACTTTATTTCCCGTTTTTGACGCAAAGAAGATTCCTGCCCAAGTAGGTAGATCCGCAGACGCTCTCACGACATTTTTCTGCTGTGCACTGGCACGGCTTTTTTCAATTACTACATTCAACTGTATGTGGCACCTGAATTACGCAAACCTATAGGTACGTCTTCGCAACCGGACAATTTGGTAGTTTCTTCGGCTGTATTCGTTGCCAGTTTTCTGCAGGCCATTTCTAAATCTACTAAATTGTCTAAACAAAATTTTGGAGCACTTCTTCTAAGACGCCAAGTTCGTTCGATGAAGCTACTCTCGAAACCCCTTTGTTACAGAGCTTACATTGCTGTACGTGTTAATCGTTCCAGAGGCGCACTATGCAGTCGTGTACATCGCTTAAACGATGCAGTTGACCAATAAGAAAGCATAAAAAGTATTGACGATAACCAACGGCCCGTCTTGATGACCCACATCACTGCTTTAGACCAGCAGTTCAGCTCAATTTGTAGGTATCAACGGTGATACGAAAGGGATTCATTAGCCACGGATTGTTGGTTTCCATAACGGTCGTATCCGCCATGACGTTTCAGCAGCCTCTTATACCTTTAGCCGTCCCTGGTAAGGAGTCATGGGTCGCACTGAACTTCCGGCGAAAAATAGTACGTTTCTTTCCTTTTTGTTATCTCGTCAAGGATATCCTCAGTCATAGTTGCTTTATGGTTTCAGTCGGCCAAACTGTTGAACCATTTTGTACGTATACACATGTAAAGGAGTAGAACTTTCCGAGATATCGTACTCACATAAGGTGTTGCTAGAGACCGAAATTCGCAGGGGACTTCAGAAGCGAGCTAACTCAGCAGTCTGCTCGCAGTGAGCAGCGAGGTACCCGGTGTGTAATATTATCCTTACCGTGAAACGTGATTGTCCGATTGGCTAACTATTCTGCCTATATGCTGTCTAGTTTGAAGTCGCACTGGCGCCATAAATGTTTCCCTTACATCATCTCAAACCACCTCAGGCAAGATGCCGTTCACTTAACCATAAACGCAATCCACCTACTGCACGCCTCTTACTCTGGCTGAGATAGGTGTCCGCGTGTTGTGCATATCGGAAAAAATAAAATTTTCCAGGACGCAACCCCACCTGCGCCCGATCAGGGCTCTTTGATGACCTCGAGGTGTCTAGGTAAAAACTTGGTCGGACGCTGTGAACGAACCTTGAATTATTTTATCTGGTTCCCATGTCTGTCGTTCCTGAGTCTGCTGCCGACTGCTTGAAGTGCAGGCGGTCTTTTGCTATACAGTTAACCTGCAGCACGTAGTTGGTCTCATAAGCTAGGACCAACACTGCTACAAGCACAAGAAGTAAACAGGTGCACCATACTTCCGGAATTCTTTGATCTGACTTGGCGATTTCACCGAGACTAATGACGGGAGCTTATCCCAGTGTCATAAGATGGTATTCGCCATTGACTCCAAACCCACGCAAGAAGTCTGGAATGTTTTGTCTCTTCTTCCTTCCAACGAGTTTTCCTTTTGCTTGAAGACAGAAAATTTAATCCCTAATTTCTAATGATTTATCAGAGATCAACTTCCTTTCAGGTAGCCGGAAATGATCGTACCTATATTCCATCTTTCCCAGTCAGACGATTGCTTATTGGTCAAACTACACATACCTCTTGGAGACCTTGGAAACTCCGAACTCTTGGTTGAAGATGGAATTTTATACTTCAGTGCGCCACCCTATTATCTGAGGTACTCTAACCAGTCACCATGTTCATTTCCTGCAGGCTTGAACTGCCCGGTGATGTGCTTGAAGCAGAGGATCACATTAAGCTTGAGCTGGAGAAAGGCGATTTGCTCGTGACTCTGACGAAAGCTACACCCGGCGACTTTTTCAGGGACTTGGATCTACTGTCCAAATTTATCATCAAACCCACAAAAACCGATCAATCGCCCTTGAAATGCGGTATAAAAATGCTGGACACTTCCGTTGAGAAGGAGCCAGAGGATCACAAATATGAGTGGTTCAACCGCCTCGAGAAATCTGAAGACGAAGAATCATCGTTTATTCAACTGGTGTCGTATTCCTATGGTTTTGCTAATTCAAAACAGGGATTGTTTACTTCCAAGGTAGTTTATATTTTTCGTGCCCGCTACCGCACTACCTAAATTCACTGTCTAATGCGCCAAGGCTGTGGTCGACAAAACTTGTTCGCAAGGCCGATGTGGCTAGCTGTCCCAAGGTTATTCACTTAGTGTAGTTAGCTTTTCAGCGCCTTCCCTATATTTTGCAAAGACCGGTCACTGAAACCGACAACGATAATAATAGCCAATGAAATACATAGGAGTGATTAGTTGGATTGGACAAATGTTAGCGAGGCACTGATTTCACTACTGCTCGTAGAGGTTCGTATCTCCCGAGGATTCGATGAACACTCGGCCTCATCCCTGATGAACAGTGCCGTCCGATAGCCAAGCCCAGGCGGAGTTCGACTCCTTCTTTTACGCAACATTGGCGGGTTGCGTATTTTAGAGTTTACTTACTTTAAAAAAGTGGGATGAATGGCCAACTGCCTAAAAATGATCTCAGACGGACCGTCACTACGGAAGCCAGGGAAAACCGCAGTATGCATCCCCTCTATTTTGAGGCCGCGTGAATCATAACACTGTGTTCGGACATTTTCATAAGGTTTCTATAGGCATTTTGAGTTCGGGCAGATTCCCAAAGGCCGCTCGGATTTTTTGTTCGGTTTTGTATTCTCTAGCGCTTTGACTCAAGAACCTACCCACAAGGCAGCGTTGGAAAGCAAACTTATTTAATGATTATTCACAATTGCCATGTCACAGTAATGTCATCGAGCTTTGTGGTATTTTATAGAGCGGCGAGCGGGTCAGACCTCAGCCCGCCGCGCTCTGTTAGCATTGTCGAAGCTGGTCCGCGACCGTTTATTCGCCAGACCCGAGAGTGCTTATTCCGCAGCTAAACTTCGCTGAAGGCCGTTCCACTATCCTCCACCTATGTTCGCGCCAGGTAGCCAGCGGCTAGGTCAACGGTCAACTTGTCGCACCACTACTGCGCGAGTTCTCGTCCATGACAATCTCTTGCAACCGTTTGATATCCGATCTGGTGTTCGACAAGGTTGCATCTGTCTCCCGTCCTTTCCAACCACGCCATTGACTCGATCTTCGGAAGGGCCCCACACGGTTTTGAAGATGTGGAAGTCGCACCCGAACGCCGGGTAACTGATCTAGACTATGCTGACGATATCGCCTTGCTAGCCTCATGCTTTTATGATCTACAGTCTGTGGTGTCAACGGTGAAGTCATTACATCGGTCGATTTATCCATAAACGGTGGGAAGACTAAATCGTTTCCGAGCTGAATCCATGACCAGAAGGCACCTCTCGGGATTAATGGTTGTCGACTTAAAGTAGACAGTTTTAAATACCTCGAGGCGAGGTTGCTGCTCAATAGATGGAGTAAAGACGACATTGTCTCTCGAATCGATGCCGCATTCAGGGTTTCCTCAATCCTTAGAAAGTGCCTATGCACTTGACGCGGCATCTCCATCGCCACTATGACCGGCTTGTATCGTGCATCCCTCCAGCCGGTTCTCCACAGCTGCGAATGCTAGGTTTTGCGCGTGGTAGACAAGCGAAGACCCGAAGTATTTGATCACCGCTGCCTAAGGACTGTCCGTTGAGTGAAGTACATCGATCTCATCTCTAAGGAGGCACTCCGTACTCGCTGTGAAGATATCGCAAGGATATATCAGGCCATCCAAGAAGGGCGACTGAGGTGGTTTGAACACGTTCTCCGTCGTCCGCCTCATGATCTCAATTATACTGCCCTCGATCTGGTTCTTTTGCTTTTCCGGGGTCAGCTCAAGACCTGGCTCGAAACAGTCTGTCAAGAAAGGAAGTGGTTCATGGACCTTCGGTATCTGATCTCCGTCAGAGGAGAAGAGAGTGAATCGAAATGTCCAGATCCGCTGCCGAAAATCGTCACGCGTGGAGGGATGCAGTACGTGGCACCATCGAGGCCTGCTAGATCAGGCGTGATCACAACCGCGCCAAGTACAAGCGTGGATGCATTCAGGTTGGGGGAGGGGAGAGTGTGTTCGTTTCCGTCTCCACGTTCATCCGAATCATTATAGCCGCATCTTCGTTTGGTGCTAAAATCCCCTTAGGCAACGCGTAGAGCACTTTACTGACGCTTACTTTTCTCTTATCTCCGTGGTTCAGTTTTTTCTTATTTGGATTTTACTTCCTCCGTTAAAGAATTTCCCCTACGATAGTTCGACCGTCGTTGCCGAAGGTGTCGACCGTGTGCTCCACAACAAGGTGAAGAAGGCACAGTTTATAGTGAGTGTGGGCTTGCGCTGCATCTACTGCACTCTTTCCTCCTCCACCTGGACTCCGTGTAAAGACATAGTCAAGAAGACCGGAGGTGGGGGAGGACGCAGGTGGATGGCACGATCGGACCCGCATTTTGGCGCTCCACTCCACACTCCTGGTCCACACAGCAAATGACCAGGATTCTAACCAACAACAACAGAGGGGGCTGGCGCGGCTGATGCCGCACCTGACCCGGATCCCACGGAATGGGAATGCCATAGAGGACACATTAAGAAGGAGCCATTGCGGCCTGACTTCTAGACCACCAGTCGGTCGCTTTACAACACACAACACTCGGTAGACTGCGAGGTCCAAGTTATCCCGTCAGTTTGCAACCTTCCCAGTCACGGCTTTCAGCGCACTGTGATAGCTTCAAGCACGTCAGATTGTTTATAGTGAGGAAAATGTGCTGGGTCGTCGACATCACTCTCCCATCCCATTGTCAGGCCCCAGCCACTGTCCGAGCCGGTAAGTTGACAGTGGCCGGAAATGGGCGCGGTGGCTGACATCTAGTGACCTTGTCTGCGCGCGCCGCATGCACGACCTATCCATCCAAACACAAGCACCAGGATTTCACACAACAGGAGTTGAATGGCGTACATCTAACATGCGTGAGAGTGCCGTAGGTCACGTAAGGAAGGAGTCGTGTCAACCTGACTCAGCTTACCAGTCTGCCATTCCAGGCAAACACTCGCAAAACTTGGCAAACTGCGTGTACTGAGTTGGGGCGTCAGTCAGCGGCCCCAACTCACCGTCGCATTCTCAGACTCGGATCACACATGCAGCAGAGGAGCCGCATGGAGACATAGCCAAGACCTACACTTCCCACTTGCGTAGGTGGTGGTTGGATGCTTGTAGTGGGTGATGCTGTGTGATGAAAATGGGGAAGATGTGACGATGTGGCGTAGCCGACGGTTGTCTACTGCAGGTTTTCGTGAATGCGCATGTGGCCTCGCAAGCCCATGCAGTGCGTGAACGTGCGGGTGTAGTGAGGGCAGTTGAAGCGGACGCGGCGAGTGTAGGTTGGTACCCCAGGCACTGGTTCGCCAGTCTCTGTGCGACGAATTCGCAAGCGACCGACCGGGTCGATGTGTGAGGTGAGGGTGCAGTCGAAATGAGGACAGGCATGGATCGAGTCCACATCGCTGGCGTTGGTGGTAGAGTTTGTTGTTTGTTGGTGTGTTAAGATCGTGCGCAATGGTGGTGGGTGCAGGAGCCGTCGTAGCGGACGTTTAGGCAACGGAGGAGGAGGGGGATGCTGGTGGGGATTCGTGAGTGCAGTCAGTGCTAGTTGCCGGCGTTGAGGATGAGGCAGAGTTAGAAGGGGAGACAGCGGCTGGTGTATTCCGGGTGCTGCAGTTAGTACGAAGATGTCCTATAAGGCCGAGTGGTGCGCGGAACGTCCGCTGGCAGCGTGGGCAGGTCGGGGACGGTTTAACGTTGGCACTTCAGAGTGGGCGCATTTGAGATTTGCAGGCCTCGCGTTTGATTTTGGGGACGGTGATGCATTTAGCTTCGTAGGTCGCTGCGCCTGTCTTCACTTGCCTCCTCTAGGTTGGTCGGTCTCGGGCGATGTCTTCCCAACTGGACAGGTCGATTGGCAGGCGCTTGAAGGAGGTCTTCAGAGTGTCCTTGCAGCGCCGGACTTGACCTCCCTGTCGACGGAACCCGTGGTGGCATTTCCATAGAAGAGTCGTTTGGGTAGCCGCTCGTCATCCATCCGCACGAGATGGCCGCCTCACCGCCGTTGGAACCGTCTCAGCATGGTGTAGATGCTGAGGATTCCCGCTAGCTCCGGTACATCCGTGTCCGGGATCTGGTCCTGCTACCCCAGCTTCAGTATCCGTCGAAGACAGCTGAGCTGTAAGTGATTGAGTCTCCGCGACTGCTCCTTGTAGGCCATCCAGGCCCCTGCTCCATACAGCAGCGTCTTCAGGATGACCGCTTTGCACATCTTCAGTTTGGTGTTGAGATGTAGACCATGACAGTTTCAGGCGGTTTTTCAGACGGTCGAAGTCTTGGCTGTAGGCGATTCCGAATCTTGGAGATGAAGAGACGATGGTCGGTCCACCCGTCGGCACCCGAGATCGCCTTTTTCATCAGCACGTCCCGCTGGCTTCGGCTCCGAAACTAGGCGCGTACCTGCCTGTTTGGTCTCAACAAGCTAATATTTTTATTGGTAGTGATCTCTAACTGTTCTTCGCGATCTTCGTGCACTTATCATTCAGCGCGATTTATCCGGAATCATATTGACCAGCCTCTGAATCCGACACTCGTCAACGACGTTTCCGGGGGAATCGATGACCTTTGCTGTTCAAGGGACGTTATATTATAGAAGATAAGGGTGGCCCACGCCGAAGAATGAAGATTTTCAGTTGGTTATCCTTCGTCATATATGGCAGCATCAATTGGATGTTGGCTTCAGCTACAACGCCTCAGTGCCGGTCAGTCATCTGACTGTTTTGGGCACGGTCTAACATAAAACAGAGTTCTGTTGTCCAATTTTTTGTACCAACTAAGTGTACGCGGAATAGGTGGAACCGGTTATTTTACTCTTGCGTAATCTGCTTTTAGGAAGAGCTGAGTCTACCGATCGATCTTCCGGACCCTGACCACTGTCCTCCTAGCAAAAGACGCACACTCCAACTGAGGTCCGTCCAGGATCACTTTAGCCCAGAACACTACATGTAAGCAAATTACATGGCGACAGCACTTCTATAATATCACCGATGTTGTGACTGGTTCTTAAAGACAGTGACATGCTATTTTTGTCGTAAGCTGGAATATCAGTTGACCCGCATAAGCTAAGCTGTGACCCGGCGTGGGTAAGTTGGAATCTGTAAAAGGTCGCTCTAGTGAATTTACTAGTGTTATGCTCTACCTTCTGTCGTCGAAGGCTGTAAATACAAAAACCGATGCCTTTCCGGTCTCTTCATTGCAATCATAATTCTAGTCCTTCCGTATTTTGGTCTTGCCGACCATGGAGATCTTGTCTAGCAGAGCCATGAGTTCGTAGGGTGTACTAAACGTCAGTAAATTCTGACTTATAGTCTAGTGACCATGTCTATTTCCAGGAGTCTGAGTGGTCAAGACCACCCTGTAGAGCGAACAAGACTGGACATGGTGCTGCTCAATGGCCAAGTTTGGGGCCAATTGTCGAAAATTGATCCATTTACTTTGTCCTTCGAACATCATCAGGTTCTCATCGTTTATCGGTCTCCGTGGGTGGGCCCCCTGATTCTTACTCGTGAGGCAAATCTTCTCTAATCATCATCGGTGCATTCTTTGTAAATTGACTTTCAGTGCTGACTTTTGTGAGCCCGAGGCCGCGGCAGCAGCTCTGTCTGAAGTTGTTCCCTGGATGTGTCAGCAAAAGTGTGAAACGGATGAGCAAACAGAGGGAGCACCGCGACCGCCTCTCACAGACGATCACAGGCATCGACTGATCGTTCTTGCTGATCATCGCCTTCCCTTGCTTCCACCAGTGACAAGTTGCCAGGCGGGTGAACTGGATCGCACCTACCTGTACTTGGGCCTACTTGATCTCTTGTTGGCTTTCACGCACGACTTTTGCGTTCGTGAGGGTGATGGGAACTCAGAGTCGGCCTGGGTCATCGTGAAACTTGCCTCCACTCTTTCCTGGCTGGAGGTCCGTTCAGTTAGCATTTTGGAACAAGCTCGTCTTCCTATTGTCCTTACTTGTTTTGTCATTTTCTGGTTCTCCACACGCCCTCCCCGTCACTCCCATAACCTGTTGTCTCTCTAAAATTACACGCTCCGTCAGTGCAGCCCTGAATTTAGAGGTTCATGTGAGTAGGGTAGACTGAATCAACGTTTCTCTCTTACGCACACAGGATATTTTAAAATTCTGGAAAAGTGCTTTCATGTCGTCCTAGGTCTTTACGGACTTGCCGACGTTAATCCAGACCTTCTACGCTCGGGCTCTGAGCTTTCCCCTCGTGAGAAACTGGAGTTTATGTCGAAAAGTTCAGTCCTGTGTGGCCAGCCTTCTGCAAAGCCCCGAGGGTATGTCTTTCTCGGTCTGGCATCTTTAATAGTTGCAGTGTGTTATTTTGCGTGGTTGGATATCAAGATCGCGCAGGCGCTGGTGTTGCTCTTACTCCTTTTCACATAATCTTGAAAACGCAGTCTTGTATTCCCTATTCATCTCTCAATCTGCGCCCCCGTTTTCACCTTTCGCAAATCTCGCCGTAAAACGATCGCCTAGTATGTTGCTTAATCTCGTTCACCCAACAAATCAACTAAACTTACAAAAATCCAGACCACCTTGTTGTTTTTTGATGTTTGTTCATAGCGTCCTACGGGGACGTAGCTTAAGGTGCCGTCTTTAATGTCAGCAAATTGGAACCATTTCTATTTTAGTGAAGTCCTGGTGCCTTTACATCTTGCTGGAGATACGACACATGCTTGTGGAATATCCGGGCTACTATATTTTCATCGATCTTTTCCTTGACGACTACATTGTTTGGCTGCAGACTGCCGCCAGGTGAGTTTTACCGCCTTATCCTTTGGACTTCCTCATGCTCCGCAATTTGGTCATTTTGCGCCCCCAAATGAAATTGCTACCGCCAACTCTTGGGGTCAAGCTGAGAATCCGTCGAAAGCCTACGTGGCCGTCAAGTTTTGACATGTGAGCTCTCAGTAGTTTCGCCTACCTCCTGGCATCTAAGTCAAGTTTCTCTCGAGCTCGCGCCTGTGCCATGCATTACATAGCTTTAAGACCTAAACAAACCATGAAAAACGGGGGGCCAAGTGGACGGAACACGTTTGAGTGGGCAGACACCAACTCTGCTCAAATGGCACCAAAAGTCGAGGTAGTCTCTCAGTTCTGCTTAACACACCCGCCTATTCTCCCGCCATAATAAGTCGACAACTAATCAAACTTGAGACCCGATGGTTTGGAATTCCTTAAAACACTCACTTAGACTAGGTTTACTTACGCGTGGTTGGTTAAGCCAGCATCCTTATCAGCCTCCTGTCATAAGTTTTAGCAAGAATAAACTCTGCCCAATCTGCTCTGCCATGTACCGAATTCTCCGAATCCTCCAAAAAACCTCGCCTTTGACATGTCTAAGTTCTACACTCTTTTCTCTTTGCGTCTAGTTTGACCGTCCTCAGAGACCTCGGAGAACATTTAGCAGCGGTAAGCGTAACTTCTACCTTTATGTCTTCGCAAACTGTCCGAGGCAAGATGATCCCTATTCTGATTTTGTTTCCATTGACCGACTGTCTGAAACCATGCGACGGCTTAGGTTACCTGGCTGAGACTCCACTTGGGTTCTGGGTTCGCCATCTCAGAATTCCTTAACCGAAACCTTCCCCTGATTTGACCGCGCGCGCTCCGAACTCAGGCTAATAGAGCGTAGGACCATTTCATATGCGGTACCGACTACATGACAGGCATTTTAGCTAGCGGCTCTCTCAGCGAGCAAACCCCATGTTCTATTGAAGTAACTGCGTACCCAATTTTGTCGTAGAATCCCTACTTTTATACGAAATAGTTGATTTGTGATCACCCCCTCTCTTGAGCCGTCGTCACTTCCTCTCGCGCTACTCACTGTCATCAAGATTAGACCTAGCCATGTGCGATTTGAATTATTCAGCAGCATGCCTAAATACATTTCCTTCTTTAGTATAAAATGAAGAAGGGATACGTGGATCTACCCCTGCGTGAACTGGAGAGGCTGTCCGCAGACATCATTGAAAGCGAAAGGTTGGCCAGTGAACTGGGCGCCGTCACTTTGGCCCCCTGAAGATGCCAGATAAGAACTGTCCCCCCCCCCCCGCCGCCGCACGGGTGTCCCTGTAAATAAACGCACTTTGACACCATGCATGACTTGTTTCTTTTTCCTGGTCCACTCGACGGGTCTGAAAACAAGAGACCCGATCTCGGCCGAGATGCTATCAATTAAAGTGATGCATCGCAAAAAACCCCGTTGGTGGAGTCTCGTCACCCAGGACCGTGGGAAAGAGCAGCGGTGAACTCACATAGCCGACATACTCTTGTCAATCCGGCATTCGTGGAGCAAGGCATGTTGACAGTCGAAACCACCTGTCACGCGCAAGTCGAATGGCACTTGTGGCACAACTTGGTGAACGCCCATGCGCCTGACACTGGGTAAATTTAGACATGCTGACAGGCTTTTCGCCTCCTTTTGTGCGACTATACGAACGTTGTAAAATAGTCCTACCAGATGACGAGCGCAGCCCCGCGGACGCTGACAGCATTAACGGGTGTCCTTTTGGAAGGCCGTAAATTTGGTGAGCTAGTAATCCGAAATGTAGTAACCTCGCCGAGGCAATCAGGAGGGCACTTCACGCCAAAGGGAACCGGGCGACGCTTGTGCTGGCGGCAGCCATTACTGGCCTAGATGCCTTTTCACGCCTGACGACTTAGTCGATTTTTTCCTCTCCGCACAATGCATGTGAAGCAAAAACATTTGAACGTGTCCGGCTTTCCCGTCTTGCTGGCAATCAGGATTATATTACCTGGCCAGTCTCGAAACTTCGGTAGGTTACATGGGCACTGCCGACATCCAAGGACCTCGGGTACGAGCATTTCAGAAATCTGAAGATCGAGTGTGTCAGATCAAACTACGTCTGCAGTCGTTGGCAGCCTACCTTCGATACGGCCACTTACCGGCTGAAACTAGCTAGACATCCTAGTAAGGCGTCTTTTATCAACGTCTTGTCTACAAACAACAAGAAGACCAAAAACTAATAGCCAAAATATTTTAATGGAGCAATGATGTAAACCTGATCACAGCAGAAGAAAGGCAGCAAAAGTGTTATAATCAAATAGAAGAATTGAGAACAATGGGAGGGACCAACTATGCCAGCAAGTAACTTTCAGACAGCGATTGCCGAGCCAATCAACCGGATTTCGCGATCATACATTTTTGATAGGTGCGACTCCAGCTGAAACAAGGAATAGTCGAAAAGCACAAAACTAAAAACCTGACAGCCAAAGGCAGCTTAAGTCATAGGCTGTAATACCTTCTGGATTTTGTGTGCAACAACTTAGTACGTAAAATAGAAGGAAGTTGTTTTTATTTGGGTTCAAGGCAAGTACGGAGAATGCTTGCAGCAAAAACCTTTTCAGCAGATGTGAGCAATTTGGAAGACGTATTTCACGTGGGGAAGAGCGGCTAGTATGGTTAATTGCAATAAATTGCTCGAACCAGGGGAAGCGTGCGCATTCAAGAATGGTGGCATAGTACTTACGAAACGAATATGTTCTTTACACTCGCGCTGCTCCTCAATTAGTTCTGTATGGAGGTCTTTGATTTCGTTTTCAGCATGCCTGACGGCTGCAGTAGCTTCCACCATTTTGGTTTTGGCCCGGTCTGCTTGACGCTTGAGGTCGTGCATACTGTCAATCAGGCGGTCCAGATATCCAGGTTGTAGTCGCAGTAGAAGTAAGTGGCTTAGGGTTCTAGAACAGAAATGTTTGTGCAGGGATGAATTTTGCGTAGCCGGGAACTGCTTGACAATTATGAAAGTTCGCCTGCTGAAGTATACTTTGGCTGAATTACCCCGAACGGCCTACACCCCTGTTGCCCTACGCTAAGGTGGGAACCACAGGTTCGTGGAATACGTCATTTCGGTTGCGCTGAGCCGGAGTTCTTGAATATTGACGTACGTGCGTGATGCACACGCTGGATAGTAGGTCATGCAACGTCAGTCACTGCGTTCTACATCACCGCCAGCCGACCGACAAGCTTGGACAGGCCACTGGTGCACGAGGGTGGGGATGAGGTTGATTCTGAGATATAACTTGTCACGAAAAGTCGTTCTAAATGGTTCCTACTAATAAATCTGAAGCGGCCAAAATGACCAGTAAGTACCTCAGGTCGTAATTTGGAAAGCTGTCAATTAACGGGATAACTCGGCTCTCGGTAAGGCTGCAATAGTTCCTGATGCAGCCTTTATAGCACTCCTGTAGGAGATCAGAGACCCCGTACACTGAGGCCTGGTTCGTGTGGGGTTGGTCACATCAGATCGTGTGAGGCCATGTGCGACAGGTGATCGGTGCTCCCGCAATGGGCTGCGTTTCAAATGCACTGGACCAACATTTGGGTCAGAATGGCTCATGGTACGAGATTGTCGGACTGCGTTTAGCCCACGCAAACCCATAGCCACCGCCGCACATGCGCGTGGCACGATTTGGACGCAGGCTTCTGCACCGAGTCAGCCAATACGCCCAATTCAATCACCCTTTGGTTGGCAGGTTCGGACGGTCTACTGGTGCAGAGGATGGGGGAAAAGAGATTGCGAGCGACGGAAGAATCCACTCTCACGGGAAGTCAGCCCATTCCTCACTATGATGAACCTGGTGCATGTAAATCTATCACGAAACCCCGAAAGTCGTGGCCTGAAGAATTTTCAACTGACGGGATAACTCCGTGCTTCTTAGGATAGAATCAAGCTACAATTCCTCCTTAATGTGGCCATTATGGCACTAACTCATTAGATCCGAGTCACCCCTGCTGTCGCCTGATACGTGTAGTGGAGATCAGTTCGTGTGCGGCACGCGCAAACGGACTGTTCAGCTTCCGTATTGACATTATCTTGCTACCGGAGTAAGGTGGGTGATGGAGGAGTGTGGTGAATGTTGCGCAAGTCTGCCTCACTATAGACGGATCCACGCGCAAATCACCGGCGTGAAGTCCAGGACGCAGTGAGGCGGACTTTCGCTGTACCTACCCCACTCATTCTTCCGGTGTTCACAATATCCAGACGACAAGGTATTTCTTCACATCTGGACATAGTGGACTCCGTAAGAGTGAGTGAACTAGCTGAAACAAAAGTCTGCCTTGTTACAAACGAATACGTATACAGGCTACCACTGCACCCTCGTTGGAGTAGCGGCGGCCCCAGTCACTGACAATAGAGTAACTGTCGGTTTTGATAATGGGCGGATTGCTTTTGTGGTCGGCGCTACAGTGTGTCTGGAGATGTAAACGATCTCACTTTTGACCGCAAATTCGCGTAGACAATTGAGGTCGGCTAGTGTTACTGTTTTCTGCAGGAAAGCAGCATCGCCGCAAGTGGCTAAGTCAGGTGGGCGTCAAGGTTGAGTAGGTTCGAGAACTTAGTTGTGGCAGACAACGAAAAGTATGTGTAGAGTTGGGCAGTTTGTGTGAACCCAGATCTAAAAGGTGTTGCATAAAACTTGCTCAGCAAGGCAGCTTACGGTAGTAAGGAAAGACAGCAAAAGGACTCGCCCTGATACGAACTAGCCGAGAGTTGTGGGCAGTGTGACAAATTTTTCAACAGTCGAGATCGTTCGGATTGCTTTCAGCGGGAATATTGGATCGGTAGTAAAAAGCAAATGCAGATATGCTCATTAGGAAAAGCGAAGGAGTCACAGAGTAAACTTACTCATCAGTGATTTTGTCAATCATGGTCTTCACGTCCTTCGCCATATTCGAAAGTTCTGCGGAAGACACAGCACTAACGCTCCTTGGTACATCCTTTAACATAAATGAGTGCATGCCGCATCAAATACTGGGCTGAGACTTGCGAACAAATTCGAGTAGTTTAACTCACAAAGTTCTCTGCATATCAAATATCATACCTGCATACAATATGACAGTAACGAAAATCACATCAACATTACCGGATGTGCTGAATGAATTGTAGCTAAAATACATTACTGGTTTAAACTGGACAGCAAGCCCCTCTGATACTGCAAAAAGTGAAGAACCTCGTGCTTAGTACTACGGAGTAAGCGACGATCTCGGAAATAAGCGTTAATTGCACCGAAGTTTCCGAGCATACAATGTTCGACTACCAGTTCCCGAACAAACAGATAAACCTGATGGGGCAAATGATTTCATTCTACGCAAACTGCCTCCACATTTATTTGCAAACCGAGTATTCCCATTTCGAAAGCAGGAGAAGGCGCATAACAGCAATAGGAGGACTAGCTAATAAGCCAACAAAAACGGCCATTAGGGGTTTCCACAAAGTATACGAAGTACACAGTGGCGATGTTAGCTCCGATCTACTGTTCCACTGCATCGCACGCTTGGGCTTAAATTGGCCAAAATTCTGTTTGAGCACCCGAAATTCCTTACTTTTGGCTCAGATGCCTCGACTGCGAAGTTCCTGGAGAAGCGCAAGGGGAGGCTAAACTTACGAAAACACTATGGTTATATGTAGTGTTACTCCACCCTTCGTTCCCATGACGCAGAATTCGGTGGTCAACATCGACGGTGAACGAACACAAAGCATGTAGAGAGTCAAGTCGCTGGCGCGTGCCTACCTCATATAGCAGCTCAATTTCCACCTTAAGACGTGCTTCGCATTGGATGTTACCACCTGTAAGCCGATTAAATCTACCTTACGACGGCTCTCAATTCAAGGAAGCAAACGAAAAATAGGGGAAATATGCAGACGCAGGGGGCAGTGTCAAGACGTGCGCCGTAGCAGAAGTGGGCAACCATGCCAATATGGGTGTTAATTGTCCTGAAGGGTTGGCAGTTGCCGGCGCGCCATAATTCTCATCGTCTATTCTCTTTTAAGTCAGCGTATGTGCATTTCCGCTTCAGTGTGAACTTGAAGATGAAGTTGTAGCGACCGAACGGCATTTTCTTTCAATGTTGGTGCATTGGTTCTGTATGATTCACAGACTTACCTGCAGTATCTGATGATAGATGGGCGCCAAAGAATGGACGTCAATCCCGCCGCTAGGCTTCTGGGTATCTGATGAGCCCTCAGTGGAGGCGTGGAAATCTCGCTGGTTCTCTATCATCCTTTGCAAGAAAGTTGTCAATTCCTCAAGGTCGCCAATCAGGGATGCGCGACCTTCGGAGGTATCCAGAAGGAGTCGGGCATTTGCTCCGCGCGCCACGCGAGAGGTATTCTGCGCAGCAGCTACGCCACTCGTCTCGGCATCTGCCTCTGCAGATTCGGTCACATCAACAACATCGAGCCCGAAGGATTCAGCCAAATCGCCAAAGTCGATGTCATTGAGGTCTGTGTTAGTGGCTGTCACATCAGTGCTTTCACCGACAAATTCCAGAAGGTTAACGTCGCTGAGCTGGAATAATCGAAGAAGGAACCGATCAGACTATATACGGATTGGTGAAAGCAGCAATGGCAAATGGGCAACCAGTAGGACCAAAGGTGCTTCCCGTGATAAGTGCCGAAAAACAGTAGTTCACACAACTTGTCATTGCAAAAATATAGATGTTTCCTGCCTGTTGGTTTGAGTCGTCCGCACCTAGGCTATACATATGTCCGTTAGCGACTGGTTTTTGACCTAAAGGTATGGAGCAGTACAAGTGTTTCGGTGAACGACAGTCATGTTAATTTGCGGAAGCTATGTTTTCGGGCAATGCTATACGGTTCCGGTCACTAACTAGAAGTGTCCCATAGCGTATAAACGTACTGACAGTGTCATGTGGACTGCCGTTCGCGGTAGGCTACGGTACTTTTATATTATATTAATGTAGTGTCTACTTATAAGATTTAGGTAGCCTAGTATACATTATAAATGTTCCATGATGTCCACTGACGTTAACAGTCGGCCGAATTGATCCCTGCCACTTTTGCCTACGTCTTATGCGACGTTTACGATAGATTTCATAGTGCACTAGTCACTGACAAGGTTGTTGGAAAACGTTCCTGCTTCTTCCTTAGGTTGCTAACTGCTAATCTAATTAATGTCTTCCAGCTGTTGACCGTGAGTCCTGTTAACGACGTCAGGGAAAGCATGCGTTGCCCTTGGGGAAAACTGCCGTCCACTGAGTAAGCTCCGCTCCCTACATAATCCGGTGAATAGCGCCTAGACCGTTGGTGAGACCATGCGTTTCCGGCTTCGTCTTCCGAACCTGCCAGGTCGGGCATCGCAGTAATTATTCGGTTTTTTTGTTGATGAAAGACAAAACCAGACGCTGAGTGCCAATAAGTTACTTAATCCTTCGTTAGTTTTCTGCCAGTCACCCACCAAATCACGGGAAGGCGTCCGCTGTCTCTTATCTCATGCTGTCGCCAGTGTCGCGGACGTTCGCCCTATTACCTTCTACCATTACTCCGCTTAGTAACTCCACACCACAAATGGTGAAACAAACAAAATAGCAAAAGCGCGATTTTGGAAACGCAGACTGATAGTATTGTCCAACATTGACATTATTCTAACTCCAACCTAATACCTAGACTTAAAGCTAAGCCTGATGCCTAAAATTAACCCAAAAATCTTTATAATTTCTAGGGGAGTGAAGACAAATGTCTCACCAACTCAGCTTATGTCCATGAGCTTGTAGGGATGCTTGCAGAGGCTCCACAGGGTGTGGGCGGACTGAAGGCGATAGCGAAGAACGTAGCCGACCCCTCATGTGCTCGTAGGTTGCGCCGTCCAGGCCAAACTCTTTTTCCGTTCAAGTCAGTTGTACCATAGCACTCACAAGTCAACGATTTTTTCAGATACTGGCTTGATCTTGTTAGGCTGAAGCATGCGAATCATTGCTCACCCCCCCCCCCCACGCCCGGTCAAGTCGTGACTCGACGGACAGTGATGATGCGGGGATTGCTCGGTGAAGGGATGTTTTCCGGTAGTATTTAGATTCGAGGGCAAACGCCTCCTATCCCATTATGCTGGGACACAAATTTAGGGTTCCAAAATTGAGCTAAACGACAACGGTTAAAACTTTATTGGATGACGGTCATCATGGTTTTTGACCTTTTCGTAAGTAGTCGATTTGCCAGTTATCAGTAAATTTGTTAACTCCATATGGTCGTCAGACCAAGAGTCCGTGTATTTCGCAGGCAGCCTACGCCACCTATGGCTGTGTGCTGAACGCTTGAAGTAAACTGTCCAATAGACTGGAACAACTTCTGTTACATGGGATGGGATGGCCAGCCATTTTTTCCTTGACTCGCAAAGTTAGTTTGCGAGTACTAGCTAAATACCGTCATTGTACTTGTCACATCAACTATGCCTATAGTAAAAGATTTGCCACCGACCAGATCAACCACGTAAGCTGAAGCAACGGCGAAGCATGAGCAGTGAGCTTGTGTTACAGTACCACCGGCAATGCCATCGTCAATACTACAGCAAACAAAAACAGCACACCTAATAACACTGTCTGACCAAACCTCAGAGCCGCAGATACGTCACGCAGCAAAAGAATACCGGTGAAACAAATTCATTGCTTAAGGGTGAAAAAGACTTGCTGAAGAGAGTTCCCACAAACACAAGGGAGACTGGCTTATCTGCCGTCATCAGCCAGCCATACCCAACCCGCGGTTTGCAGCACCTCAAATTCGAACCCAAGGTCTTTGGTTAGAAATGGTCATTCTAGTGTTTCACCATTCCCATAATAATTAAAATTTCCGATCGCAATCGACAGGGCGCCGGACTCGTGGCTTAATGGTAGGCCACTGGACTTAATGCGCAAAGGTTCCGGATTCGAATCCCAGATGTTCCATGCATAGGGCTGGGTATGACGGGCCGATAACGACCAATAAACCAGAAATTGCCATTCCAGTCTCTCGCGTCTTCGTCGGAGCTGGCCCTCACCATATATTTCTAGTCACTTTGCGACTACATGCATGGAGCCCCAAGACTAAATGGAACAAGCTGGTGCCGCAACCCTATCGGCGAAAGCCTTTCCTAAAATGAAGGTTTACTACATTCAGAAGGCAAGTTGACTTATCGGGTGATAGTTTTGATAGAGTGGGCCCTTTTGCTCACTCTGGAGAGGATAGTTTGAAGGTGAGAGCGAACTCAGTCATAATGACGAATGGTCAAAGTTTCGTCAGTCCGACCGAGAGCGCCCATGAGGTACTAAAAGAGACTTATTCTATTCTGTAGGAAAAGACTTGAGGAGAGAGGGGGTGGCCAGGATAAAGGCCTAAGTGGGGGCGAAAGAACGTTTTAGGAAATGCGAATCATGGGTCCCATGCTCTAACAGCGGAAAGTCATCCCAATCAACACTGCTCAACAGACTACTTATCGTATTCACCAATTTGTAGCTAGGTGAATTTCCTCTCAGAGCTACTGCGCCAAACTGTATGGCATACGGACAGTCGAATATCCACCAACTTGTTTTCCCTGAAAATTGAAAGAGACGTTTATTTCGAAAGAATGAGGCCCCGCTTAATTTTGACGTATCCCTCTTATTTAGTAACGTGCCAGTAAGTAGGGCGCTGACTGCTCTCCGTCAAGGACCCAATCAGAATAAGGCAGTAGATGAGTAAACGGGACTCACAGCAGAGACCACTGACGCCTGTCAAAGCTCAGCCACTTTCGATTTCGGAGGTGCAGCCCACACAGACACACACACACAGTGGAACTTCTTATGGAATCTTTACTGCCTCTTTTGATCTCAAACATAATCATGTGGGACTACGAAACCGGTGTCTTACCAAGTTTTTAATAAGCGTCGAAAATCAGGCAGGGAAAATTTCACGACACTTCTGCCGTAACAAATGAAAGCTACGTGGAGCAATTTCCTGGTATGTTTTAGCTCCATTGAGGATGTTATTAAATTTACAGAATTTGAGACGGGAAGTAGTGGGTTTCGCCTACTAAATCAGACAGATACTTCCGAATAAATAGGCATCCTACTGCCGTCTACTGAAAACCAACAAATGGTGGGCGGTCATTGAAGCCCAATCCAACAACCCACTAGGCATTAAACGGAGAGTGGACCTATCAGTAATCAGTCAAGCAGACATTCTGTACTCCACAAATGGCGCAAAGAAGGAATAAACTTGCTGGACGTCTCCAAAGGAGGTGCCAAAAGGACTATCAAGTGTTTGCACCAACGTACCGAGTGTTGAGCGACTGTTCTGACCTGGATGCCCATACACTGCCACTGCAAAGCCACAGCGATTTTCAGGACTGAAGATGGTTTTTTGGTCCTTTCTGACCTCTACCTTGACGATCATCCCCTCCCGCTCCTCACGTCTTTCCTTATAGATGATCGAACTTTGGTCACCCCTCGTTCTGACTGCGAGGATGCGGCGAGAGGCCACCAACTCTGACGTAAACAAGAATGTCCATACCCCTCACAGTAGCGTCCGATAAGTGCTTCTGCCTCCTGAATTGATCAAACCGTTTTGTTATCTATGGACTAGGCTACCAAGAGGTTCCAACTTCCTCAATTGTATTGAAGACGTCCGCATCTTTAAAAGACAACCATGTTTGGTACATGGTGAAACGATGTTCTATCGCAGTAAATATGCTAATTACCTGTACGCTGTCAGTACTAACGTTAGCGGCAGTGGTATTCTCAAGGAGAGCTTTGAAAAATGTTGTGATAAGGAGTCACTGCCACTTTTAAGTTTAAATGTGGTGTATGGGGTCAACCGTGGAAAAACCAAATTAGTAATAGGAGAAGCGGGCAAGGAGTACCTCCAGTTCAGCACTCTGAGCGGTAGTTTCAATCTCGGTCTTCAGTTTTTCTACGCGTTTACGTTCCTGGCTCAGCATGTCGGCCAAATAATCGTCGCTTTTGCCTATAGAGTCCGGAGCTCGGCCGTTTTTCCACTCGTAAACTGTCACGTGGCCAGACGAGAGGAGAAGGCGGAGGGTGCTACACGGCAAAGCCGGTGTCTTTTGGGCATCAGAATTACTAAAGAACAATAGCACGAGCAGCGCGAACCAATTGGGCAAAGAATAACGGAGGGTGAAAAGACATAAATATAATGGAAAATTTCAGGACAAATCATGGAGAGCTGGGTTACGCAAATGTCACAATATAAAGACAATATTAGACCGTGCAGAGGGCTTTAAAACAGTTCGTATACCAGCCCAAGAAGAAGTGTTTTTTAATTAGGAGCACAAAACAACACACGCGGTGGTATGAGCTATGATCTCAATTATACGGCCATAAATTTGGCTTGGGTAAAGATTCACGACAGTTCGTCAGTCTCATGCTACTCTCCCGGAGAAGGCAAAGTGCGCGTAAATCGGTTTATGGCGGTGAATATTTGCGTGGTATCTATTTTACACTCTGCATATACGAATTATGTTCCAATGACAGGATGACAGGCAGTAGCTGACATGACCGAATCCACTTCTACATGTGCCCCACAGGTGATGACTACGGCGAGCAAACGGGAGAGGCTCCAGAGAGAGGCAGCATATGACACATGAGTTACTACAAAAACCACGATTAGTGAGTTATTTCAACTTAACTATCAGTGCGGAGTAGGACTGAGTTATTGCGTAACCAGGCGACCCTCCAAGCTACGTTTTTCGGCCCACCGTGATAGGTTACAGCAGGTCAGATAGATTATAAGGAAACAGAATGCTGAATCCAAATTGGATTGGCCGGAGCGCTAGTATGGTTGGCAAAAAGCCGAAATGAATTGCAGTGATCACACAGCAAGCACAGAATTCTGAAGTTCAAACGCGACAGGCCGAGAAAACCGGTACACTGCTACAACAGAAACTACCCAGGCAGCCACAAACGCAGTTGCGCAAGACCGCTACACCAGCGAGGCCGGAGGGCCCACTGCTAAGGCAAGAAACGTCTGGAGTCATTTGCCGGATCTGGTACAGTTGTGGGCAAGGTAACTATGTCGAAGGAACTGGAAGACTACTGTGGACGCGGATAGCAGAGCATTCAACTGCAATGAGGAGAAACAACGGAAGATCCTAAGTTGCGGTTCATTCGACAGGATATGGCTACCCATTCAAGTTTGGCGGCTCTGAAATTCTCTCAAGAGGTGACAACCCCGTGAGCCACGAACCGCTCGAGTCGTGGCTTTCCGACCCTCCGTCGGTTAACAAACACAATGACCTCTCTGCTCCATATTCTCTGCCGAGACTCTGCTTATTCAAAGTAGTTAACCTAGCGGAGGGCATTCAGATGACCAATGCTCCTGGTGCAAATACCGGCGAGCCAAATTGACCGGGATGACAAAATCCCGGTAACTAGACCATTATCCCACTGCGTGCAACCCCTACTAATTTTGACAGGCATACAGGCTCAGTGAAGCCGCATACTGCAACACCTGGCCAGTCAGACGCACCGCGTGCAATCCCCTGCGATGAATGAGATAGTTAGAGTACGCGAAGTCCAACAGGTCAACTGCCTTGATCTTGTCCTTACGAAATCACAGGACAGCATTGACGAGGTGTTATGCCTATCTCCCCTAGGTAAAAGTGACCACATCGTTCTACTATGGAAGTACTCGCTCTTTTCCATGCCCGGGAGACCCAAGACAGTTAGAAGAAACATTTTGCGCGGAGATTTCGACCCAATGTGGGCTGAAATTACACACATTGAGTGGGAATCTGTATTTGCTGGAGACGTACGCGAAGACTGGCAACGGTTCCGAGAAGTACTGCACAGGCTCACCGCAAACTAATATCCGCCTTCACGACAGAGGTGAACTGGCAGACCTCGATGGCTTACGCAAGCCTTAAAGAATGAAGTGAATAATAAGCGCACGCTGTAAGAAAAGTCGTACAAGTTCGTACAAAGTTTAAAGAAATCGAGTCAAGGGCCTTATCCATAGAAAAAGAAGATAATTCAGACTGGATCTGCTTAACCGTACCGCGGAGAACCCTAAATTATTCTACAGCTACATAAGACAGCGTACGCGAAACAAGGACCCATAGCACTGCTGAGGACTGCCGAGGGTGAGAATCCCGCTGAAGATGGTGCGAAAGCTAATTATCTTTCGGAATTTTTCAGTCTGTTTTTAGTAGTGAAGCTGGATTAAACCCTCCCGCGCGTGACTTCGAAGAGGCCACAATTATTGGGACTGAGGGTATGGTTTTGGTGGAGTTAAAGAAACTAACATCACCAGGTCCCGATGAAATTCCGGTGAAGATTTTGAAGGAACTCGCCGGTGATTTGTCTAAACCACTTTCTGTGCTTTTCCACACATCTTTCGAGGCCGGATATCTGCCGGCCGACTGGAAATCGGCGTGAGTTACGCCGCTGTACAAGGGCGGATGTCTGGTCTCTGCAAACAATTACAGACCGGTGAGCCTCATTTGCATTTGCCGCAAGATTATAGAGAAGTCGTAGGGGACGCTCACCGATCGTTCGTACGGAACTTACTCGTTCCGTTGTACCTTACCGGTTCTCTCTTGAGCCCAACCAGCAGCAACAGTTAATGCAGCTCCTTGAACAAAACCATCTACTTTTCGATTTCCGGCATGGATTGCGCAAAGGCAGGTCCTGTGTGACAAATTTGTTCTACTGTCTGGAATATTGGACTCAGGCTGTTGATAGAGGGCATATGGTTCATGGGGTCTATATCGACTGCAAGAAGGCCTTCGATAGTATGCCTCACCACCGCCTTCTGTACAAACTCAGCCGTATTGGAGTGCGAGCTAGGCTTCTGATGTGGATTCAAACTTTTTACTCGGCCGCTCTCAGGCTGTCCACGTCAGTGATCAGCAGTCTGAAGAGGCTGCCGTTAGGATTGGTGTTCCCCAAGGCTCCGTTCTTGGCCCTACACTGTCCATTATATACGCCAACAACTGTACGAACGAACTGGATTGCGATGTCGCAATGTTTGCTGATGGCATAAAGACCTGGAGTACCATATGAAATGAAGTTGACGAAGCGCGAGAGCAGACAAACCTAGACCGCCTCGAACAATGGTCAAGCGACTGGCTTTTGCCGTTTAACGTAGACAAGTGTAACTTCTTACGACTAGGTGGAAACAGTTCACCTAACCGCATGGTCTACCACCTGACTGCAAACCACTGCAAGAAGTCGACGCCCAGAAGGAATGGGTGTGTGGATCAGAACCTCGCTCAAGCCTTCGCAGCACCGCTAAAAGGTAGCTAACGGGCGTCTTTTTCCTTCGATGAAGACTATTTCGCTAGGGTTTTTCGAACTTTTCTACATTCGCATATGGAGTTGGCCATTCAAACATGGAGACCCTGGACCGCTAAAAACCTCAACATACTCAAAAAAGTTGAACGGCGAGCAACTAAACTTGTAACTGGACGGTGGTTACTACCCCACGAAACACGATTAGCTAATCTTTATCTCGTTCCCCTGAGTTACAGGCAACTACGTGGCGACTTAATACAAGCTTTCCGCATCCTGTGCAATTAGGGCTGCTGCCTCGTATTAGGAGGCTTCTTCGAGTTGGCGACTACGACTAACCACTCAAGCTACGTGTGACTGGTGCCCCGCTAGACACACGAAAGTTCTTTTCCAACAGAGTGGTTGCAGCTTAGAATGCTCTGCCTGATGACGTTGTTATACCTGGATCCGTAGAAATTTTTAACCGGAGGCTGAATCAACGTTGGAGTGCACACCACAATGCCGCCTGACCGCAGCCGTCTTGATAGCCGACGTTAATAACTTGGTAACATCATGGCGCTACTGCTAATAATTCAGTAACATTTGTTTATGTAATATACTACTTTTCGAGCTACGATGCACGCTGTCCGCATCTACCAAGATGCTTGCAGACTACCAATCTTATTACTTTTCCTGTAGCTTAGGTGTGCTTCGAATATCTCCTATATTAATCAACAAACCGAGTTCATTTGCCTTCAAATACCGTTAACGCATGAAATACTGTGCTCATCTGTACAGTGTTTGATATTCCTCTTGTATTTCGTTCATGTTACTCCCTTTCCACTTTTTCCACATACTTCCCCTGCGCATAACAAATAGGGATTTTAAATATACACATTTACTTTCCATCAAATAAACTGAACTGAGCTGCCAATTTTAATGGGCATGCAGTGGCATAGCAACTACATATTGCAAATACTGTAACATCTGTAAGACCCGCTACTCCAATTTGATTTTGTCTCTGATGACGAATTCGAGTGTGAATCCGAAACTCCAGGCTAATAAAGTTCTTGTTCCGACGATCGTGTTTCGTGCTTCACAACTACCACTTAGAATTCGCCTCTTCGCTTCTATCGGCAGGCTTAAGACATACCGAAACAATCCGGTTCGGTGTTCTCGAAAAACCTGGAAATTCTGCTCACCGAGAGCAAACTACTTCAATATTTCATTAGTCTATCACACATTTCTGATACAGACGCATTCAGCTTCTACATTTATTTAGCCCTCATTGTTGAAGATTTGGAGTTGAAAAGAAGCAAGGTTAGTATTTCCGACTTGCAGACTTTGATTCTGATAATGATGCGGATCTGACGACAGATACGGGAAGTTGAGCGCTTCATCCACTTTAACGAAAGCCGCCCACTGTTTTGTTCAGTTGAAGAAAACCTTATTGAATCGGCTCAGTTCGTAGATTCGTAACAATAGAAAGTGACATACTCGGACGAATATGTCCACTATGCATAATAACTCAAAGTTTATTGCTTTGGTACGATTCGTAATTGGTATGGGATACAGACAATACGCGGAATCTACACCACCGACTTACCTTTTATTTATGAATTCAGTAAAGGAAGTGTAGTACTCGACTGCAGGCGCAACGGAATGAAGGTCGCTAAGCAGGGCAGAAAGCAATTGCGGGACCGTGTTGGCCTTTTCTAACAGCTGCAACCTAACGTAATCATCCTTGAGGGAATTTTAGTGCATTTTAGAACCTTACCGTAATTTCGAAGCGTTTTCGGAATCTATCCAGTTCCGCTTCTTTGGACTGCTGATTAACACTGAACTCCTTGACCTTCTTTTGTAGATCCTGTGGAATGGGTCAAACTGAATCAGTGCAGTAATAGCACAGAAATACTACCAATAAATCGCTTGCAGCAAACTCTTGTCCATCGGCATAAACTAGCAAGTACCAACATCTGCATGAACAGAGCGTTCTAAAAAGTTGACTGACACTCTCAAAATATACTGAGAAGTGAGGAAATCGGAGGAATAGCCTTGGAAATAATCATATTACTACTGGGATTGCGAAAAGGAACAGAACGGAAATGCACGCAACGTATGCCGTTAAAGTAAAAGAGCGAAGAATGAGACTCACAGTTATGAGTTTCTGCCTATCCGCGATTGCTGACTTGCATTTAGGAATCAGGAAACACAGTTCATTCAAGCGTTCCGCTACCTCAGCTGACCGAGTTATAAATAACTTTGATAGCTTACCAAGGTAGAGATTTTGCTTTTCATAGCGCGAGACTAAATCCCTCCATTGCTAAAAATGCTCAAAAAAAGACAAAAGTACTCTTATATCCGAGCTCGATCGTCCGAAAAAGTCCTTCGTATCGTCTGTCTTCTCCAAGTATTCGAGTGCTTTCTGACAGAAGAGGTATAAAACTAAATTTAAGAAAAAACAAGAAGTCAAGCGTACAAATACAGAGTGAGAAATAATTTGTTTAAGCAAATGTGAAACTAGCTAAAGCACTGACTCGCACGCATTCTATGAGTTTTTGAAGAAAGCTACAAGCACAAATACAAATTGGGCGGATCGGCGACCACATTGGTCTCGTATTATTGAAACACGACCGTCGACCCTTAAAGTTTGGTCTGTTGTCAAAATTTAGGAAATTAGTTAACAGAAAAGGTTAAGGCGAAAGAAATCATATGTATCGTGTTTAAAACATTCCCCAAATGTGCATAAAAAATTCTAAAAAAGTGAGGAACTCAAATAGGACTTAACTACAAGTGGCAGAGGGGAGGCTATATTGGAAGCGTAATTCCGGGACGCTCTTAACACAATGTAAATAAGAAGTGAGCACTTTTTTGCAAAACATGCTGTTAGTTTACATGAAATCGACCATCGATGACGCATGATTATTTGAATTAATCATGATGTTCGTTCAGATACAATAGAGCTATAAACAAATAAATGGTCAAGGTGACAAGCCGAGAACAGCCTGATTTCAAAGTTTCCACAGTCGGTTTTTACAGTTCCCACTCACTCTACGTAAAAAGTCAGTGCCCACAGTTCTACTGACGACCTAAGAGGAATGAAGACACAAGCAAGCAATTATCAGCGATTTCAGGCAGAGTTTGGTGGATAATATGAGTTTGTCAGCTTCTGCGCAAAGCGAAAGAGCACAATGATATCGAAAGACAGTCCAACCAAAGCATCCGCTGGACGTGAAGGCAAATGAATACTTCGACAAAAAGTAGACGACGTGCTATGCGGCTACCGGGATTGAAAACTAGGAAGCTGAAGTCAACATTGGCGAGCTCGCCAGATCTTATACACTCGGGTCTTAAGATTTTTTGATTTTGCTGAATGCCTTTTAAAATAAATTCCAAGAAAAATGAGTTAAAATATGGAGAAGCTCACCGGGTTCCTTGCTAATATGGCGAATCTTTTCGGCTGTTGCTTGCTCTGCGGCGGCGACTTTATCTGCAAGCAATTCGAGAGACCCGACATACTCCTTAGATAAAACGCCGCGTTCAATGAGCCAACCTAAAGAGTTCGCACAACATTATGAGAAAACCTATCAGTTTTTGCGACTGGACCGATATCGGAGGCGCCATCCAAACGCGAACCCGAGACGTCACAAGCACTTAACCTTGAGCCTAAACACCGCGGGTTGAATATTAGGCCATCTAAACGACGGAGTGTTGAGTCTGTGATCATAAAGCTTTCCTATTGAGGTATAACATATAATCGGTCAGCATGCAAAAACTAGAAAACGCTTGGGCTGGAAAAAATATGGGGACACGGAAAACCGATTAGATCTGACAAATTGGGCGAGAACCATGACTAAATGATGGGGGCGAAGTGCAGACACGGGCTGGCAGCTGCGGAAAGTGAAGAACAACACACTTTACTGCACTGGTGAGAATTAGGGGCTTCAGAACTGGTAAGTTGTTTTTGTCCATTAGCCGGCACACTAAGGTGTCGTGCCGAGCAAGTAACCTTAGAAATCTAGGTACGATTGCCACTGTGGCCAAAGTAGGAACGAGTTAATGAACCTATCTCTTATATTTTTTAGCAACTCGTCATAAATGCACACAGTACTAACCAGGAGCACCTATGCTTCCCAACGGTTGACAGACTTATTGACCACGATTTTTAGTGTTTCGTAGAAGTTTAAACGCGAGTCTTATTTAAGATAGCGAGGAATCCAGTGAATTATCGAGGTGATTTAATCCCTGAGGTTGATTACATTCTCCATCTTCTCTCAGAACATTAGTTGATGCCGTAATCCAGGTGGTGAACATCTCGAAAGAGTTTAGGCAGTCTAAACAAGACTTATCAACGGAGGTTGGGAGCTTCAACCCGAGAAGACGGCAAAACCAGTACTGCTGAGGAAAAGATAAATGGGTTTTGTGACAAAGTGAGTAGCAAATTGTATCTGTGTCAAGCTAATGCTTGTGATGGCAGCGGCCAAACGCCCTTTCAAATTGACTGCTTGCGCCGCGTGCGAGGTAGTCCCTCTGCTTGGCGGCATCACGAAGTTGTAGTGAACTTCACCGACTGATTGCGTCCAGACATGGATCACTTGTGCACCCATGTCTCGCTATGGGGAACTTAACAGCAAACGCTGGCTCACAACCTGTTTGGGTAACCGTCTCCATTGCCCACAGACCTGCTTTTAACCGTCTGTCAGAATTAATTATGTTTTATTAATTCTGTCTTGACGAAATTATTAGTGAGTACCTTTCGTCTTGAGCGAAAGTGCTGCAATAGGTATTGATTTTTATAGAAGATAGGAAATTAATTTGAGTACGCCAGATGTTGCTGGAACGCCACGTCATAAGCATAATTTGAATTGTCTACGCTCATCGATGAACAGGGTCAGAAGCATCGTGCGTCAGCTTCACCTCCGGCGTAAGTAGAAAGGACGACTTACGAAAGCTCTCACGAGCCAATGATTTTCAGGTGGAGATACTTGAGATAAATAAATTAGGAGGTCTACTTATAATTTCGAGGGAACGCTTATTGTGGTTTTTCACACTGCGTAGACACTGCAATTTCGTTAATCGCCAGCGGTATTCTAGGAAGTAACTATAGGATCGCGATCCAAGAGGAGAGGGACAGGCGGGAGATCCAAGGTTTAACACAGATGTCACTCAGACCATCTGGCACATACGAGCATATGAGGAACGATGGCACTGATATGGGGAAACAATCAACTGAGAGAAATATATGAGTTACTGTTGATGCGCATGCGCTAGTGCGATTGCGTCAGACCAGCCGAAAGCGATGGTCAGATCCGAAAAACGGGATGACAGATCTCTTGTGAGGTGGGGAGGCAAAATTGTCGGCAATCATTCAGGAAATCGTGTAACGAGGCAGCCAACTTCAGGGTTGACTAAAGTGGCGGAGTGAAAACTTGGCACACATTAACGTGTATACCCTAGCCGATTGACTGAGCGCGGACAAAGCTCATAATCACACACGCCCCTTGTGTTGATAACTTGAACGGTTTGCACTATTTGTAAACACCGTTGCTGCCGCGGCCTAATGAATCACATATGCGTTCTCCTGTCACAATAAGTGCACTTAAATTAGCTCAGTCTTCCTAAACTTTTATTTTGGGAATCCTCGCTGTCAACTATTACGCACCAACAAAGTAATAATAATTTTTACTTTTTATTTAATGCCAGTTTACAGTGGTTTACTACTGTTTGCCTCCTCTCCTCGCGACAAATGGGACACGCCAGCATGCCATAGTCAGTAAATTGTCTTATTTGATTTGGACATCACAGCAATGCAAAAACAAGCCAATGACGTATGTTATCGCCCGCAAGCAGCTGGAGAGATCTGAGGATTGGATATAATTGTGGGTCAAAACTGTCGGTAAAATACCAACTTTAGAAAATTCATGCAAATCGATCTGGTTTTAAATTTTTACCTTCGTTATTTGAATTGATGGTACCTCCGGTCTTTCACAGGCAAGCACTAGAAGAAACTTTCAAATGGACGAATTAAGTTTGGTTTTAGACATTGTTTAATTTAGGGCAGGATAATTGATAATAGGGTTAGTTTGGAGTTAGGGCAAGGCTTGGTTTTGGCCCTAAACCTAACGCAAATCATAATCATCATCCTTAACATAATTTTAAGCTGCACTTCGACCCTTATCCAAACCCCAACCCCGTCAGGTAATCTAATTTAACTCTGACCTTTTGCACCCCTCCCCCCGGCTAACTATCATGGCAGAGTTGAAAACAAAACATCAATAAACTTAGGACGTTGTTCTAGAGACGCATTCATCCACAGGTTCTTGATCCATCGTATTTCCTAAACGTGAGAAAGCGCTCTTCCAAATGACTCTCGAATAAGCACGAATATAGGCTTTTCTCCACTGTCCTGAAAAACAACCGAACTTACTGGCATCATCTATTTGACACCGTTGTTCGAGATAATCAACTGGGAGCTACCTCAATGTAGGAAGCCAAATCAACCGAAAAAGAGATCTTCAAAAGCCGATAGAAGCCCTGTAAACTACAAGCATAGTTTGCTCGAACGAGTTTAGACCGTCCCGGTGGCGCTCGGTACAGATGACTGTGGTTTTGTATTCTGTCCAGTTTGCTAATGGGTTGCGGTCTGAAACTGACTAACATACGAGATAGAACTCCGTTTTTACTTGTTTCCCGATTTCTGAAGAAAGGACTCCGTTGTTAGAACAAGTTGTTTGTTCATTTGACGCTCAAAACATTCATCAGAGACGTCAGAAGATAGGGTTAGGCCACCAAAAAAGATTGCAATGCTAATAAAATGCGGCTGATATATCACCAGCGGCCGATAAAGATGAAAAACTTCGCTACTAACCGCCCCCCCCCACCAAGTTGTTACATGTTGCGATTTCATCACCACTGTTGACTAGTTGCGCAGGACGTATTTGGAAATTCGGCTCTCAATGGTATTTCTGGAAGGAGTTATTTCTCTTGCTTGACGATGGTAAGCCTCCTGAAAAATACGTAGGAACTGCGCGACCGCCCCCTTACAGCTGGCCAGATAGACTGACAACCAGCAACTAGAGCAAACCGAAATTTACCCAACAGGAAAATAATTTCAAGGTCAGGCCGATATCAAAGTTCTTCAATCGCCATGAAGGACATATTATTCATGCCCCCGAAAACTACCAAACTGCAAACTTCAATTTTTATATTGTACATATCGTTATTTTTTGAAAATTTTGTTATTATTTTCCCTTAGAACTGAGGTTTTTTTTTAACCTAAAACAAACTCTCAATTCGCGCTCTTTTGGCTAACCAGACACCCAAAGCAAATGAAGTCAAAGTGCAGTTGAAATTGACGAGTTTGTTTTAGGTTTTTTCCTGAGTTCAAAGGGGACTGACAGTGCCCAAGGGGCGCTACAATAAACCTATTCTATTCTATTCTATTCTATAAATAGTCATATTGAACCCGGAACCTGACTATACTTTAACCTTAGCCGCTATGTTGTCATAACCTCCTTAGTTGGTTTATTTATTGGGTCGACAGCATTTTACAGGATGTTAATGATCCAGATCGTGAGTGTAGATGTATACTAAAGAACCCCATTGATGTCGCGCATTTGCACCACGCACCAGCCTGGTCGGACTCTTGTGAATCCCTCGCACTGAGACCGGCGTAGCAGTAGAAGGAGCTCTGATATGCACCCACCACTCCAGCTTCATCCGACTGAAATGCCTGAGGACATTCGATTATCGAATGAAACTGTCCGGTCATATGTGCCTCCATGCAAAGTTCGACAAAACCACACACTAGATCCAGTCATCGCACCTTATCCTACCTGACCACGCATAAACATCTAGGCAGCGTATAAACACTGTCGCAACAATACCACACCACGCAACAATTATATCTCTGCTCGACAGCAAATATGTGATCCGTGTCGCTGTCCCCGTCATGGCCGACGCAGCGTCACGTGTCGGGACCTGCATATCTCACATGGTTGTGGGACATACTGTTTAGTGTACCATGTTGCATAAAGTGGCCGTGCCGCGCGTGACACGTGTAAACCGACTATTTAGCCCTGTCATCCACTGCGCCCAATTTCGTCACTAGCTGGTTACAGAATTTAGACAGTAGGCTGGTGCGCGGGAGGAGGAAAAGAGGACGAGATTGGCATTGGGAATCCCCTCCAACGGCACTTTTAGCACATTCTTCACTATAATAAAACTGACGCGCTCTATCAATCA